TGGGGAGATCACGACCTGATCTTCAGAACCAAAACCAGAACAAAACCCAAAACCAGGGAACTAAACCCAAACGGACACTTTCAGATGGACAAACCGAGGCTGGGGGGGGCTCTCCAGGGCATCACTTCAAGGCCATGTTCCCTCCACACCTTTGAGACTTGGAAGACATGGTTACCCTTGGGTTTCACCTTTATTTCTCTTAGTTTTTGGTATTTATGTATTTATTTTTTTGCTTAAGAGATCAAATGCTATTTAAAAATGAGCTGGTTTTGGGGGGGCAAAATGGATTAAAAACCTAAATCTATAGAAAGAGGGTAAAACCCAACGTGGGTTTGCTCAGTGCTATGGGAATGGGAGGGTTTGGGGGCCATCCTGCACCCCTCTGGCTCAGTTCCCCTCTCTCCCCGCTCCCAAGCCTCCTTCACCCTGGGAAACCCCAGCTCCATCCCTTGTAGGGAGCTGCAGCGATGCTGCAGGTGGCTGTGTTGCATCAAGGGGTTTCTCCCTACAAACAGCACAACTGAGTGTTTCCAGCTGGGAATCCCTGCTGTTGAACCATGGATTTTGCTATTCCTGCTTTGCCAACATCCCTGTAATGGGTTGTTTTACCAGATTACAGGTAAATCCCTAAGTGCCACGGTGCAACACGCTGGGAAAACACCTTTTCCAAGCTCTCCTCCCTCCCAAGCTCCTTAACAGGCTTTAGTTTCCTTTTTTCCCTATGGGAATGGTAGTGCATGGCAGAGAAACCATCTGGAGCTTCATCCTGCTGGCAGCCGGACAGGCTAAGGAGCGAAGTGAAGGGATGATGGGCAGAGGGTCACTGTGTTTTGGGGGTGATGGATGGAGGGCCTGAAAATACTGACAATTAATAAAAACTAACCCAAAAGCCCTGGATTTATGGATATCCAGCAGCTCTTATTGCTATTGTCGGCTGGTTGGGTTTCCCCATGGAAAACTAACCCTCAAATGTGGTTTTTCCTCCCTCTAAGCAAGCCAAACCCCATTTCACACCCTCCAGATGGGGACCACATCATCCCAAATCCCCTGTGGGGATGTATCCACTGGGATGGAGGAGCAGGGGGAGAGGATGGCAAAGAGAAAGGGTCTTGGAAGGACCCCATTCAGTGGGATGCTGGTAGATGGGGGGAGAATGGATACTCTAAAACATCCATCCCTCAAACCAAGCCCTTCAATAACACTTCCTGGTAAGTACATCTTGGAACTGCAAAAGCTGACCTGGGTTATTGTTATTCACTAAATACAAGAGCAAATGGTCACCTGGAGGGTTCAACCACTTGGAGGTGTGATGGATACAGGAGCTCACTCAGGTTGGGGGCCACCACCACTATTAATATGCCTTTTTCCCTCCCCAAATCTTGGATTCCAGCTCATGTTTTCAAGCAGAGATAATGGCAGGGATGGGTTCATGGCCATAACAGTGGTTTGAGAGTCATTTTCCTTCCTCTTTAGCTGGAATTTCAATCTCTGAGACACTTTGGAGGGTGCTAAGGATGGTTTAACTCCTCCTGCTCTTCCCTGCTAATGCCCAGTGTGATCCTCCACCATAGGAAACCCTTTTCCTCAACCAGTATCAGCAAAGCTTTGTTGGAGTGAAGTAACTGAGAAGCTGGTGGCCACCATCAGTGTCTCCCACAAGGGAGTCCCCCACCAGGCTGCAACCTGCCCAGGACCTTCACTTAAACCATGACTGGGCCAAGGAAAGGGCTTGGGATCATGGGCTTTCCTCTCATCATTCCATCTAACCAAAAAACCACATCCTTCCACAGGGAAGGGGACTGCAGGTCACTGCTGGCATGAGCTGAGGGGCATCAAGCCCCACATCCCTGTGCAGGGGGATGCAGGGAGCATCTCACCACCACCACGACTCCATGAAGACACCTTGGGAAGGAGCTACCCAAGCCTGGAGCCATCTAATGGCCCCAGAGCCATGCAGTGTCCAAGCTTAAACCCACCACCAGTTCCCAAACGTGCTCACCAAAGCCTCTCACCCAACAGTCAGTGAATATTTCACCTCTTCACACCCTGGCTGGGTTAATGGGCACTTCTGCCTGGGCATAATGGGATGAGGAGCATCAGATCTGCTGTTGATCCAAGGCAAGGAGCTAAAACTAAATCACCCCGTGGGTGATTCCCCTGGAGCTTTCTACCCCACCTTTAGTGTTCTCTTTCCTTCCAGGAGCAAGCCTGGCATCTCCTTTCTGGCCATGGACCCAAAAGTTAGCAGTCATTCCTAAAGCAGCTGAAGGTGAAGGGTGCCTAGGCCTGTAGTAGGATAGTGTCTGCTAGGGAAGGTCCTCCTCTGGAGAACCTGGGCTGTGATAACACTGAACCTGAAAGTCATAGTGCCCTTATGTTGCCTAAAGCTTACTCTACCCTATGTGTTTCAATGCTGACAGAGAGCTCCTAACACATAACACGAAGTCAACATGAGAGGGAAGAAGGGTATTGAGAGGTCTTCAAGTCCTGTGATCTACTGGGTGGTTTTCTGCCCAGGTTTAGCTGCTACAAACAGTGGAAGGATGATGTAGTATTGTTGGTTCCAAATGTCCTGATGCTCTTTATGTGCTAACCCTTGGCTTGGCCAAGCTGAACCCGTAGGTTTTGGGGTTTTTCCTTCTCTTTTCTGTTTATACAAACCCAAAGTGCAACTGAAAGTATTACACAGGAGACACACACCTTCCAACCCCACAGCACTGGTGTTCAGTCTTCACCCACCCTGCTCCCCCTGAGGCTGGGAAGGTCAACCAGACCTTTGCTACATTCCCTTTCAAACCACCATGACTGACCAAGTGACCCCCATACAGAAGTGCTGGTTCCAACACCCAACCTGACAAACGACCTGGGACCAACCAGCAGTAGGAGAAGTCCTCTTGGGTCTCTAAGCTTGTTTCTCCCCATTTGGACCATGCTTATGGGAAGGAGCTCCATAACTCCTCCCAATGGCAGCAGATGCCAAGCTGGAGACACCACCAAGAGCAAGGTCTCACCCTGGTACCAACAACTGCTCACTTTGCTCTTCTGAAAGACCCTCCAGTCTGATCTCTACACCACGATGTCCCGGTCAAGGTGACCCTCCACTGCTGGTCTCCACTGCCCTCACCTCCATATGGAGATATGGCATGACCAAAGCTGAGCAACCAACAGACATCTGGGCACTGACTCAACACCATGCATGGGTCAGAAATCCATGACAGGCAGTGCCAGGAGGGATTCCCATCCACATCTCCTAACCTGACTGCTTTAAACGCTTTGGATTTGGTCCATTGTGACAACCTTGGAGCCCAAGAGATGTGAGTTGCAAACACGCTACTGGGTGCATATAACTCTTTTGGCACACTTGAGGGAAAACTCAAAACCCAACAGTGGTTTTGTCTTAGGAAACACAAAAACAGAAGAAAACTCTTGTTTCTACTCTGGGTTTAGTGATAAGGATTTAAAGATAAACTGGCCTCAAGTATTGTCTACAAAACCTCTCTCTCTGCTGCCCTCCACACAACTTATTGCTCTACTTGGACACCCCAAGGTGGGATGTCACCAGCCACACTTGGCCTCACATCTTCATGCCCCTGGGAAAGCCAAAATCCCTGAAGTTACCCCAATGCCCACAGCCTCTGCGTGCCTGTTGTCTCCCAGCCTGGTCCATGTCAACTGTGGATCACCTTCCATGCTCTTGTCCTTTCTCAGGAGCCTTCCCATGAGGAAGGTGACATGTTTATTGCTATTGCTTCCTCTTCCCCTCCCTTCTCCCCACTGGGCAAGCAGAGCAGCTGGTCTCATCCCCCTCTCCAGCCTTTCTCTATGGTGCCAGGATTTGTGCTTGGATGAACATTTCTCCTGGAAGTCTCAGCTGTAACTCAAAGAATGAGGGGGGCACGTTGACTGCCACGGAGGAATCACAGTTAGGTTTCAGCCCTGCCAGCAAGACAGGTGAATCCACCCATCTTCCCTCTTGCCCTACCTCAAAGACTCTTCTGCATCAATCAGCCCTCCTCCTTTCCCACACTATGAGACTCTAGAGAAGTTCTTCAGATCAACCCTTGGACCTGGAGAAACTGTTCAAATCAACCCCTGGACCTGGATAAGCATTTCAGACCAACACTTGAACATCTCCTTGCTTCCTTCAACAGCCACCCAGCACATCTCTGCCTGCAAACAGCAGCCACACAAGGAAGGATCTGCCTTCTCCCTCACACAGCCCCAGGATGTGGCTGATGGGGAGCATCTCATTTACCCAAGAGGTGCAAGATGCTGCCAGGGAATGTGTGTCTCTGCTGCTCTCTTCCCATCACAAAAGACCCATTTGCCCAGTTGGAAAAAGCAGCCCAAAGACCTGATGGTGACCATTCCTCATACTTCCTAAGACAAGTGTGTTACGTTGCTAATGATACTTATATTCTCTTAACTCCTACAAAAGAAGGGATGAGTTCAGAACTTCACTGCAGATAATGCATTTATAATCTATCACAACAGCTATCTGGAAGACACCAAGTTTTTTTTTCTTGTAATATGTTATGGAAGATTAAATAATTTATATTCTTCAACTAAAAATACCCAAACCAAATGGGAAGAAGAAGCCTGCCTACCAGCGCTGTGCTTTTCACGTAGTACCCTGAACATCAACCACTCTTACTAGCCAAAGGAAATCTAGGCTCTTGTCAACAACAACGACAACAGAAAGATCATGAAAAGAACCCAAACGAACAAGAAGTGGGGGGATGTTTGCACCACTCAGCTGGGCAATGCTGGAAAAACAAAAGGTGGAATATTCTGAGCTTTCCAATGATAGGACTCCAAAGAGAGAACTTGACTATTGCTCAGTGTCAGTATGTGTGTTACACAATCGATGTGGGGTGGGGAGGAGGAAAGAGGAGAGGAGAAAACAATAAAATAAAAGGGAGGCAGAAGATTAGAAAAAGCAGCTTTTACAAAACCACTAAAGAATGCATAAAGTGACCCTTGCACTTTTGTTGGTTTTCTTTTGTTCTTGCAAACAGACGAGGTGCTGCAGGACAGCGGCCACAGCACCGATGTAAGACTTGTGTAGTTGCATACAATGTTTGACTCTGGATCTGGAAGAGAGCAGATATATCAAAAACAAGGAGTTAGGAGCAAGTAGTGCAGGGTAGGAAGGTTCTACGGAGTGATCTGGACAGGCTGAATTGATGGGCTGTGGCCAATGCTACAAAGTTCAACAAGGCAAAGTGCCGGGTCCTGCATTTGGGCCACAACAGCCCCATGCAGTGCTCCAGGCTTGGGGAATTCTGGCTGGAAACCGCTCACGGAAAAGGACCTGGGGGTGCTGATGGATGGAGCTGAACATGAGCAGCTTGTGCCCAGGCAGCCAAGAAGACCCCCGCACCATGGCCTGTCCCAGCCCCAGTGTGGCAGCAGGGCCAGGGCAGGGACTGTCCCCCTGTGCTGGGCACTGGGGAGGCTGCACCTCGAATCCTGTGTCAGTTCTGGGCCCCTCACTGCAAGAGAGACATTGAGGTGCTGGAGCGGGGCCAGAGAAGGGCACCGGAGCTGGAGCAGGGCCTGGAGCACAAGTGTGATGGGGAAGGGCTGAGGGACCTGGGGGTTTAGTGTGGAGAAGAGAAGGCTCAGGGGGGACCTGATCGCTCTCTGCAACTGCCTGACAGGAGGATGGAGCCAGGAGGGGGCTGGTCTCTGCTCCCAAGGAACAAGGGATGGGACAAGAGGAAGCGGCCTCAAGCTGCCCCAGGGCAGGTTTAGCTGGAGCTGAGGAACAATTCCTTGCCCAGAGGGTGCTCAGGCATTGGAACAGGCTGCCCAGGGCAGGGCTGGAGTCACCGTCCCTGCAAGTGTTCACAGCCCGGGGAGCCGAGGCCTCAGGGCCAGTGGTTAGTGGTGGCCTTGGCAGGGCTGGGAATGGTTGGACTGGATGAGCTTAAAGGGCTTTTCCAACCCGGTTGACTCTATGATTCCAGGACAGAGCAATTCCCCTCTCCTCTGCACACCTTCACCAAGTGCAGCACCTATAGCTGATGTATCCAGGATTTAATCATCCCTTATGCTGCAGTGTGGGCAATTTCTCGGGCAGGGAGCTGAGGAAGCAGCAGCTTGTTGGTGGTATCCATTGCAGAGGATTAAAAACATGCAGATGGGATGCTCTCTGCTAATTGCACAACGATTTGTCATGGGAAGGATTAGCTCAGTGTAATGTGTGCAGGAAGGAGAGATTTCACATAGCCCCCAGGGCTGGTTGATCCCTGCTGCTTCCCTGTGCAGCATCATGTGTTCCCATCAGCTGCGTTCCCTGTTAATTGGGCATGAAGGACCAAGGGCTCCAGCAACACAAGGAGAGCGTTTAAATGAGCAGCTGGGATTTTGGGGATCCTGAGCACGACAGGAACCTGCAGCTGGTTGCAGGCAGCTGCACACAAGCCCCGTGCTAATGAACAGGATGATCTCTCAACACATTTTAGCAGGGATAAAAACCAAAGGGTGTTCAGCCTGGAGAAGAGAAGGCTCCTGAAGGGGACACCTTAGAGCAGCTCCAGGGCCTAAAGGGGCTCCAGGAAACCTGGAGAGGGGCTTTGGACAAGGGATGGAGGGACAGGCCAAAGAGAATGGCTTTAACCTGCCAGAGGGGAGACTGAGATGAGCTCTGAGGCAGAAGCTCTTCCCTGGGAGGGTGCTGAGGCGCTGGCACAGGGTGCCCAGAGAAGCTGTGGCTGCCCCATCCCTGGCAGTGTTCAAGGCCAGGTTGGACACAGGGGCTTGGAGCAACCTGCTCTAGTGGAAGGTGTCCCTGCCCGGGGCAGGGGTTGAAGCTGGAGGAGCTTTAAGGTCCCATCAACCCAAACCATTCTATGATTCTATGTAAGGTCAAGGTATGCTGTGCTTTGCTAAAACCCTCTGTAGCCCCACAACAGAGCACCATGCAGCATCCCTACTAGGGAGCAGTGCTAAAAGGCTCTTCTGGAGTCAAAGCATCACCCTGACAAAAGGATTCAGGAGCTTTGTAGGAAGGAGAGAAGTGATAGGGGTGCTTGGTGATTAATTAATCAACAAGAGCAAAGCAAGACCTACTAAGGCAGCACTTACATGAATTGGCCAGTGGGTTTACCAGTGTGGAGGTACGTAGCTGTAGGTGGGGGTTCCTTGAGCCCTGTACGTTGGCACGGAAACTGGATGTGCTCCAATGGCAGTGTGTTGTGGGGTGGTCAACAAGGTTCCTGCAGGGCATGGAGAAATAGTGAGGAGAAGAGCTCTGTTAGGGGAGGGTTAGCTGGAGCTGAGGAACAATTCCTTGCCCAGAGGGTGCTCAGGCATTGGAACAGGCTGCCCAGGGCAGGGCTGGAGTCACCGTCCCTGCAAGTGTTCACAGCCCGTGGAGCCGAGGCCTCAGTGCCAGGGGTTAGTGGTGGCCTTGGCAGGGCTGGGAATGGTTGGACTGGATGAGCTTAAAGGGCTTTTCCAACCCAGCTGATTCTATGATTCTAAGGGGCAGGCACAGCATCAGTTGCCTTTTTCTCCCTTCTATGACTCCCCCAAATATTACTCTGCCTGTGAGTCCTGAATCAAAGGCATCTGACTCATGCAGTTGCTACCACCCAACACCATGAGCAGAATAAACCCACCTGCAGCTCCAGCATATTTTCTTTACATGCTACTGTTGGCCCTTGACCCATCTTTTTCTGATTCCCTTATCCCTAAAGACCAGAGCTAGCCACAAACCTGCTGACATCTTCCACCTGCTGAAGGCACAGGGCTAAGTTGCAACAGCAAATCACTGCAGTGATCTGAAACATCTAAGCACCAAACTGGATGGGATGAGGGTTGTAAAAGGAGATGAGAAAAAGCCCAGAACTTCCAGGGAAAATAAAGATGAGCTTTGCCCCTCATCTCCCATGGGCAGAGGAGCATTTCTGCCTCATTTAAACCCCCAGAGCTGACAGTCTTGGGATGCAGCAGGAGGAGTGATCCTCTCCCAGCCACAAAGCAGAGGAACTACCCCATGCATCCTCTTTTCCTTCAGTCTTCAGTGGATACAGAGGGATTTTAGGTGGGAATTCGCAGTGCCCTCAGCACACATGGGGAGGGAGGATACAGCCCTATACTACTCTGCTCTGGGAGTAACTGGGTGCTCGGATCAACTTCTCAGTTCCTGGCTACTAGAAATGCTACTATAGAGATTTCAAAGCATCCCACGTGCATCTCTCCACTTCTCAGTATCAGCAACAGTAAATCTCTCAGAGAGGTTCTTGTCATACCCACGCTGCAGTATCTCTGCTTGCAGCAAGGACTGTGGCCCATAACAGAGCCCTGTTTCACAGCTAATGCAGATGCAGAGGGATGAATGAGGTGTTTCTTGGCATAAGTCAATATACAATCCTAGGAATTGTTAATGAGAGAGATATAGGCTTTGGGAAAAATAAACCCAGCCCATATCCTTACTTAATGTGCTGTCAATTAAAGCAATCCCGCACACAAATGCAGAGGATTTGGGATGCAGAAGCCAAGGTTAATGTTCATTTTGTCAAATGAAAGTAAGACCATAAGTGTCCTAAAAAAGGAACTTGAGTATGGAAATACAATATTGAGGATGGAGAAAACTGGTTATACCTCTGCTTATGGAACAGACAGAGGAAGAATAATGCATTTAAGGATGCAAAAGTGGATATCTCTAGTGAGCCAAACACAAGGTCTCCTCTGCTAACCTAAAAACTGAGTTAGGTCAGTACCAGGAGCATTTTTGCCTGCAAAGGAGAGGTGGCAGCAAGCAAACCCAGCAATTAGCTGTGTTCAAAGTGCTTTTGGAGCCACTTCCAGATACACCCTGAAGGCTGCTGGCAGCACAGGGAGCTCCTCACCCATTATAAATCTCTGGGACAGATCGTTTGGATACATCCCACCTGCGAGATGAAACTATGGCTCAGAACAAGGGGAGATCTGTCTTCTCACCTGCTGACATTGCCATGGTGGTCCCAGCGACCATCCCCATGGCCACACCGTTGGTCCTGGGCGCAGCGACCGGGGCCGGGTAGATGGCCGATGGGATGCTGTTGGGCTGAACCACGGTGGTGTGATGGATAACGTGAGGCTGTGCCGCATACACTGGCTGGGTATAATAAGCTCCCTGTTGGAGAAGGGGAAAAAACACCATTGTCTTTGTCACTGGATTGACAGCACAAGCCAAAGCAGTGACTTGAAGGCCAGTATTTTATGTAGAGGCAAAGACCAGCTCTGTTTGCAGAGGGTTTCAGCTGGGCAGGGAGTTGCTGTAGATCCTGCTCTGGGGTGAGCAGTGATGCAGCAGCACAGCCCCACACCTACCCCCTCCACCAGATGGGACACACGATATTCCCAAACCCAGCCTGGTCTTCCTTGTGAGGGTGCTGAGGTGCTGGCACAGGGTGCCCAGAGAAGTTGTGGCTGCCCCATCCCTGGCAGTGTCCAAGGCCAGGTTGGACAGAGGGGCTTGGAGCAACCTGCTCTAGTGGAGGTGTCCCTGCCCGGGGCAGGGGTTGGAGCTGGAGGAGCTTTAAGGTCCCTTCAACCCAAACCATTCTATGAAGATTCCATAATTAATACAAGCTGGTGTCACATTTAGCTGCTGGTACAAAGAGCTGCCCACAGGACACCATTTGAGCACTGCCAAAGGGCTAGTCCTTCCCACGAGGGAGCTCCTTCTGCCTGGAGACCTGGATAAAGAAGAATGAAACTGAACCTGAGGACATGTGGGGTGGTCCTTGGGATGCACAAAGGCAATGGGAAAGGAGGGGGAACACCATCAGGGGTTGGAAAGTCAGGTTGGGGGAAAAGCCAGGGAAGCCATAAGGCCAGATTGCTCTGATGACCTTGTGATCTTCAGTGGGAAGGGGCATCAAAGTGATTTTCAGAGGACATCTGCTCTAAATTACATCCCTGCAGGGGATCTTGGCCCCAGCACATAGCTGGAGGTGGTGGCAATGCAGGAGCAGAGAAGATGGCACTGGAAACCCATCCAGGTGCTGGGGGAGGAGCTGCTCTGTGAGGATACAGATCTGGGTCATGCCTGAAGCAGCTTGAGCTGGTGAAGGTGACACAGGGAGGTGGAAGGAGGGTGGTGCAAGTCAATAAGATGCCAATGGCCACCAGCAAATGGACCTTGGGGTGACCCAGAGTCATCTGCGGCCCTGGGGAACAGCAGTGTTGAGAGCTGGGGAGGGTGAGAAGAGGGGGTGCAGGAACTATCCTGGAGCCACGGAGCCCCAGTATGTGATTTTGGAGGAAGGGACCTGATTCCCAACCTCATCAAGCCACTGCGTTGACTCCACTACATACCAACAACCATGCAAGACCATGTCTCATCCAGAGGATCCAATGGAGGAGTCAGGAGAGAGACCCCAGCACCCCAGAGCCCCACCAAGCCCCACCATGAGCACCTCCATCCCACCAGGAGGTGGGTGCTCAGCCCTGACAGCCGAAGATGAAGCTCTTTAGGAACCTCAGGCTGTATTTGCTTGCTGTTGAGCGAGGTGGAGGCACCTACCTGGGTGTACAGGTTCTGCTGTGGATAGGCACTTCTGATGGGGTACATAGCGGTTTGGTACGGGTTCGGAGACGGCGAGTAGGGAGGAGGTGCGTTGTTACTCTGGGTCGGTGGGACCTTGTAGGGAGTCCCCGCAGTGTACCCTGCAAAGACAAGAGGGCTCCAAGTGAGGGTGAGGATTTACAGCTGCAGAGCTGGTCCATGGAGAAGCAGCAACCCCAGCTGCCACTCATGATGCGCCGGCTGCTCGCTGGGCATCACTCAGCATGGAGGAGACACCAACTGCCCCAGCACCGACTGATGTGCCATGAAACCCACCAAGCTGAGACCTCTGAGCCTTGGCTAATCAATCACAGCACCCGGCCTGCATCCTTCACCCAGCCCAGCAGTGGCTCTTCCCAACCCCAGTGGCCCAAAACAGGGCATTCAGCTCTGAGCCCCCCAACACAAGAGGGACATGGAGCTGCTGGAGCGAGGCCAGAGGAGGCCCCGGAGCTGCTGCGAGGGCTGGAGCAGCTCTGCTCTGGAGCCAGGCTGAGAGAGCTGGGCTGGGGCAGCTGGAGAAGAGAAGGCTCCTCAAGGGGACACCTTAGAGCAGCTCCAGGGCCTAAAGGGGCTCCAGGAAACCTGGAGAGGGGCTTTGGACAAGGGATGGAGGGACAGGCCAAGGGGAATGGCTTGAACCTGCCAGAGGGGAGATTGAGATGAGCTCTGAGGCAGAAGCTCTTCCCTGTGAGGGTGCTGAGGCGCTGGCACAGGGTGCCCAGAGAAGCTGTGGCTGCCCCATCCCTGGCAGTGTTCAAGGGCAGGTTGGACACAGGGGCTTGGAGCAACCTGCTCTAGTGGAAGGTGTCCCTGCCCGGGGCAGGGGTTGGAGCTGGAGGAGCTTTAAGGTCCCTTCATCCCAAACCAGTCTGAGATTCTATGATTAATATTTAGGTGAAAACGATGGATGCCTTTAAGTATTCCATGAAGGTGGATAGTTCTGAGCAGTTTCCTCTCCTGCAAAGCAGGGCTCTGACCATCAAATCATCTTGCTGGTTGGAGAGGCAGCCCCAAGTGATGCTCAGGCACCTTTATACCTGTCCTGCTCCCCACAGGCCATTTACTTTAGCAACAAAAGCAGGAAATCTGCTTTACTGCCATTAAGAAAAGCCATTTCTCTGCTCCATCAACAGGCACAGCAGGTTGCTGCCAAGCCAGGAGGTGCGGAAGGGCTTGGGAGGGCAGTGGGGTGGCAGGGACAGGCAACAGGACCAAAACTGAACACAGTATTCCAGCACCAAGCAGAGCGTGACGATGACACCTTCATCTCTGCTGGTGATGCCCTTGTTGATGGTCCCCAGCACCCTGTTGGGTTTCTTTGCTCAGCTGCTCCCTGTTCACTCCTATGGAGCTGGTGTCCCCCAGGTCCCCTTCCCAGAGCTGCTCCAGCTGGGCAGATCCCAGCCTGTGCTGCACTCCGGGACTGGTTTTCCCAGGGGCAAGACCTGACACTTGTCCTTGTTGAGCTCCATCAGGTTCTAGCCATCCCACTCTTCAGCCTGTCCAGGTCACCCTGCAGGGTGGCTCCCCCTTCCCAAGTGTCCGTTTCCCCACTCCGTTTGGTATCCTTGGCAAACTTCCTC